CCCCCCCCCCCCCCTTTAAAAACAAAAAACAAAAAACTATGAAGATATTTATGCCTACAGGAAAGGACCTACCTAAGGGCATATGGTAACTGAGCCAAGATTGGCGTGCAGGCTTTCTGATTCCCATCCCATTGAACCCCCACTCTGACACTCAATGATTAGGTTTGTGAAGTTTAAGTTCCCTCTCTTGCCCAAAGCAAATTAGCTGTTAACAGGCCTTCATGGTCCTCAGATAAGAGGAAGTAGGTAATTGGACAAAGTGACCAACACTGGCATCTGTGTGGTCTCTTGGTAAGATATAGAAGTGTCAAAATGTGCCTCCTATTATTTTCTCATTCCTCATCCCAAGGCTGAGGTGTCCAGGGACACACCTTAGTTCACCAATACCAGCCTGTAACTTTAATGAAGAGGGGAAAATTCCCTGTTCTCCCCTCCTTCTTCACTGGTGTGCTTTAAGCTATTTCTGGAGTATGACAAATAGAGAAGGGTAGTGGAAAAATCAAACATGTTCATTCATATGAGCCATGTCTACAGTCTGTCCAGGGTCTGTTTCACTTTTTATAGCCAATTGTCTCTCCTAGTCACCCCAGCCTCCCTTAAATCTGTTAAAACATGCTCCCCCCCCACCTTTTTTGCTGTTCTTGGAATCCGCTTCTGGATGCCAGTTTCCTGAGTCTGCTTTAGTAACCAGAATGGAGAAACTTATTAACCGCCATCTACACCTTCTGGTGATAAGACAGTTATATATTTAAAAAAGGTCTTTCCTTTTTTTTTTTTTTTGTGACCGGTAAGGGGATCGTAACCCTTGGCTTGGTGTCGCCCGCACCACGCTCAGCCATTGAGCACACCGGCCATCCCTGTATAGGATCTGAACCTGCGGCCTAGGTGCTCCCAGCGCCGCACTCTCCCGAGTGAGCCATGGGTTCGGCAGGTTCGGATCCTGTATAGGGATGGCCGGTGCGCTCACTGGCTGAGCACGGTGCGGGCGACACCAAACCAAGGGTTATGATCCCCTTACCGGTCACAAAAAAAATAAAATAAAATAAAAATAAAAAATAAAAAAGGTCTTTCCTTTTTTTTTTTTTTTGTGACCGGTAAGGGGATCGTAACCCTTGGCTTGGTGTCGCCCGCACCACGCTCAGC